TTGTCTCCCCACCCCCTTCTTTTTTTTCTTTTTTTCTTTTTGGAGCCTGGCTAGAACTTTGTCTATTTTTTTCAAAGAACAAACTTTTAGTTTTGTTGATCTTTTGAATTATTTTCTTAACTTCTATTTCATTTATGTCTGTTCTGATTTTTATTGTTTCCTTTCTTACACTAGCATTTGAGTTTTTTGTTATTTATTCCAGTTCTTTAAGGTGAGCCATTAGGTTCTTTTTTTTATTTGTTTATTTCTTGTTTCTTGATGTGTACCTGTATTGCTATATATTTTCCTCTTATAAGTGCTTTTGTTTTGTCCCATACATTTTGGAGGTTTGTGTCTTCATTGTCATTCATCTCAAGATATTTTCTCATTTCTTCCTTGACCTCCTCTTTGATCCAGTTATCTTCCAGTAGTGTAAAATTCAATCTCCATGAGGTAGGGGGTATTCCTTTGTTTATTTTTGTGGTTTACTTCTAGTTTGATGCTATCATGGTCAGAGAAAATAGTTGGTATGATTTTGATCTTGGAATATCTGTTAGTGTTTGTCTTGTTTCCTAGTATGTGGTCAATTTTGGTGAATGATACATGTGGATTTGAGAAGAATGTGTACTCAGATTTCTCTGGGTGTAGTGTCCTGTAGATGTCTATTATGCCCATGAGGTCTAGATCCTTGTTTAGAGCTTTTGTGTTCTTGCCTATTTTTCGTCTTGTTGATCTATCCAGTGGTGAGAACAGTGTGTTGAAATCTCCTACCACATATGTGTTTACTCTGATGCCTGTTTTCAGAGATGATAATTGTCAGACATATTGATATATTTTGGTGTTCCTTCATTTGGTGAATATATGTTGATGATTATTATGGTTTCCTGGTGTATTATCCCTTTAATTATAATGTAGTGACCATCTGTGTCTCTTGTTACTTTTTTTTTTTAGTTTGATGTCTATTTTATCTGATATGAGGATAGTTGTTCCATCCTTCTTTTTTCATCCATTTGCCTGTAGGATTGTTTTCCATACTTTTACTTTCAATCTATATTTATCTTTTTGTAGTTAAGTGTGTTTCCTGTAGACACCAAAAGGTTGGGTTCTGTGGTTTTTATTCAGTCTGCAACTCTGTATCTCTTTATTGGCAAGTTTAGACGATTTACGCTCAGAGTTAATATTGATATATTGAAATCTGTATTTTTTCATTTTATTTTTTTTATGATTTTTTCCATTACCTTGTTCTAGTCTTCCCATTCACTTTTCTATTGGTTTTAGTTCTAGTATTCCTTGAGGTAATTTTTGTAGTGGGGGTTTAGTAGTGATGAATTTCTATAGATTTTGTTTGTCATGGAAAGTTTTTATTCTTCCATCATAGAGGAAGGAGATTTTCACAGGGTAGAGTATTTTTGGTTGGAATGTGTTGACTTGAAGTTTGTTGAATACGTCCTTCCATTCTCTTCATTCTTGTAGTGTTTCTTTGGAGAAGTCTGATGTCATCCTGATTGATTTTGTTTTGTATATAATCTGTTTCTTCCCCCTTCATTATTTTTTTCCTTGTCTTGGGCTTTTGAAAGTTTTACTATTATGTAGCATTGCTTCCATTGTGGTAGTTTGGCTTTCTTTGGGCTTCTTTCTACTTCCATTTCCTTCTTCATGTTTGGGAATTTCTCATGAATTATCTCCTTGAACAGTGTTTCAACTCTCTGTGCTCTCTCTTCACCTTCTGGGACACCAATGATTATTATTTTTCTTTTCCTCACTGCACCTAATATTTCTTGGATTGTCTTTTAAGTTTTTTTTTCCATTGTAGTTTTCTTTTTCTTTTTATTTTTATATCTGAATCTTCAAGAATGCTGATTGATTCTTCCATTGCTTCTATTCTGTTTTCTGGGCTTTCCTATAATTGTGCTCCTCTACCTGTCTTTGATTATCCTCTGTTTTCTTCACTTTCTTCCTCAGCTCACTGTTTGTGTTTTTATCTCTTTCTACTCGTTCTTTTAGCTTTTTACTTTTTTCCATCATGGCCATTTTGAAACCTTTGTCTGTTAGGTGGAGGTATTCTTCTGTTTCCATGACACTGTTTTCTGGGTAATGACTTTCTATTTTGCATATTATTTCCAGAGAGACCTGTTTGATCACTTGTGTTTTTTCTTCTTCCTGTTAGCCTTCTGCTTTGTTCTGTTTTAAGTATTCCTGCACCTCTGTTGCTGTTGGACATAATTTCTAATTGCTTTTGCTGTGGTGTGAATATGTCTTCCTGTGACTAAGCCTCTGTGGCTGGGTACACGTCCAGATACTTCAGTAGTGGAAGTTGTTCTGAACTGTGCTTTATTCCAAGATCTCCTGTTTTTCCTGCCCCCCCCCCATGAAACTGTGCCTGTTGTCTCAGCCAGTAATAGCAAGGAGTCACTTGTGGGGTTCATCTTCTTCCAGTAACACATTGAGTCCTAGTCTCCGGGAGATGCCTATAAGAAGTGCCGGGATGGGCTAATTTTCTCTGTTGAACTTCTTTCTTCTTCTAAGCATGTCTTGGCAAGAAAATGGAGTTAAAACAGCATAGGGAGTGTGATGAGGGGTTGGGGGAAAGAGGAAGATGATATGGAAATGTAATCAGAAGGAAGGTGATAGGAGGAGGTGATGGTTAAATAGAGGTAGAGGGGAAAAGAGGAAATAGAGGGAACGTAACAGAAAAAGAAGAGATACAGTAATAATAATAATGATAATAATAATAATAATAATATTGGAGGGGAAGGAGAAATTAGGGGAGACAGAAAACCAGGGTAAAAATGAAGGAAAGGCACAGAAAGCTACCAGCTAAGCAACACAGGAACAAAACAGACAAACAAACAAGAAACAAACATATCCATTTATGGGGAGAATTGCCTCTCAGAGGACTGATTGCTCCCAGTTAGCTAGTCCTTGTGGTTTTAGGCTGTTCCTCTGAGGAGTACCCTATAACTTGGTAGAGTAGACTTCCCAGGTGTTCAGTTTTATTTGTTTTTCTTTTTAGTCCCCTGAGGTAGTTGGGCAAGTAAAGGATCTCCTGAGTTTTCTTTACACCCAGGGGCTCATTGTATCTAGAGTCCTCCGGTATACGGACAGGTACTAAAATGTTTCTCCTGATGGCGCTCACTCAGGCAAGCCACCAGGTTTCAGGTGAGTGTGCCTTGTGATTTTGTTTTGGTCACTAGGTGGCACCAGAAACTTCTCCCAGTAAATTTTCAGGACTGGGCTTATTCACACAGGTCTCTGGGAGAAGAGGGCTGGGGAGCACCCAAAGGAAAGCTCCCAAGCTAATCTCTCTGCAAGCAAACCCCACGCTGTAGCAGCACTGCTGCTCCCACTTGTCCACCTGTTGATCTTTATATCCTTCCAGTGATGTCCAAGGCTTCTTCTGTAGCCTCCAAGCCATCGCTGCCAAGCCATCTGTGGAGCCAGCAGCAGAGCTAGCTGTTGAACTCTTTCTCTTTACCTCCTGGGCTTTATGAGCTGGCTGTGCAGGTAGAGATGGGGAGTGGGTAGAAGGGTTGCAAACCTCCCAGCTGCACCAACTGTATCTCTTTACTTTCTGGGCTTTATGTGCTGCTGAGCAGTCTTTACCTCCTGGGCTCTACCCACCAAGCCTAGTTCTCTCTCTTTTCCTCCAGGGCTCTATGCATACTGGTTGTGTGAGTAGAAGTGGGGAGCCAGTAGAGGAGTAGCAAGCCTCCCTCCTGAGGCACTTTCAAGCTGCTTGGGTGCTCCTGGATCGGAGCTCCCCCCAATCACTGAATCTCCCTCAGTTATACTTGATCTAGTGAGTCCACGGTGCCCTCACTCAGGCTGATGCTAATAATATGTATACCTATGGCCCATTTTGAGGCTTATCTGTCTTTTATGAGCCTGGAGATAGTGAGTTTAGTGTCCTCACTCTGCTGCCATCTTGCCAGAATTTTTATGTGCTAATTATTTTTTTTAAGATTTTTTTATTTTTGCATACAGACCTGGGGTACAGGCCAGAGGTGCAGAGGTGGTGAGAGGACTCATCAGAGACAGAGTGAGGAGCAGAACAGTCAGATGGAGGAAGTACACTGCTGAGGGGAAGCAGCGAGTGGGTCAGGAAAAGTTTGTGGCAACATGTGGATCACCTCCAGGGTGGGGATCGAACTCATTCATGCTGAAGTGGCTTTAGCTTCTTAGTGCTGTACTATAACCCGCTGTACCACCAGGGAGGGGCCTGTGCTAATTATTTTTAATGAGATCAGTGGTCATTATTTAAAAATCTACATCAGTAAATTCAAACCAGAAAAGCATGTTGAAGTACTTTCCCTCTGACTTACAGTGCACACTAAGTCTTATTGTGTTATTTAAGCATTTCATGTATCAGTCCAAGAATCTCATCAATTCACCAATATCTTGTTATGTATTCATTCATTCATTCATTCACACATTTACCTCGTACTCCAACCTGGTAAGTACATCATTCCTGGACCTTTGTGGACTCATAGGCTGAGCTCATGCAAGCAGTCTTTCCTGGCCAGCTACTTTTAGATAGTTACAATATCTTGCTTAAGGAATGGTTTAATATTGCCATTTCCGATTATCCACTTTGGTTTGTTTTCCCCAAAGTGGAGCCTCTGTTGAGAAATTTTTATCAATATTATTACCACATTTTGCATTGGTCCTATAAGAAATAGAATTTTAGAGATATAAATGAACAGATTCAGTTAAAACTATGGTGAATAAAACAATTGAAAATGTTAGTATTTAACTAGCTTCTAAGCAAGGGTCCCATGGCTTTTAGGGTCCTTGCCATAGAAAATGGTGAGCAAAACTCAATAGATGTAGATGTTTATTTAATATCTAAATTTTTAAATTACTCACTGATAGAGGAAGTAAACCTCAATTTCCTTATATGAAAAATGGAAATTATTATTGCTCTTTTGCCTCATGGAACTGAAATGAGTCTCCCAGGTGTTGAGGAAGATAAATGCTTATATCATGCACATCTTCAACCTGAGCTTTTCCTTTGTCTACAGGGCTACCTGAAACAATGCCGGAAGAGAAGGGACATGTTCAGTGATGAACAACTGAAGGTGATTTTTGGGAACATCGAAGACATCTATAGGTTTCAGATGGGCTTTGTGAGAGACCTAGAGAAACAGTACAATAATGATGATCCACATCTCAGTGAGATAGGACCCTGCTTTCTGGAGCATGTAAGTATTTTTGCCTTTGGGGAAGGTTTTCAGAGAGGTTAGGAGACAATAGGAGTGTTTAAACTAATGTCCTGTTCAGCTGCTTTTTCCCATGGTGGGGGATGGATTCATCTCTGACCCTGATATTGACCCCCTTGTCAGAGTATGCAGATTTAGAAAGGTGCTGTGATTTGACCTAAGAATCTTTCCTTACAATTTCCCGTTCTTTCCTCTCTACTAGACAGTTACCAGTGGGAATTCTGTCTTCTAATTTGCATTCCTGTTGAACTTAGTTTTCTTGGGACCCAGTGTTTTTGGAGGGACTCCAAACTGTTCACTACATGGAAAATATAGGAATTTAAGAAACTGGAGAAACTGTGTTCAGCAGGAAAATAGGCCCTTGAAAGACATTGAGGGAGTACATTTGAGCAGGCATTATTATGAGTAAAGGAAAAGGGGAAAGATATAAGAAAGAGCACTAGGAAATAGAAAAGTTTGATTTTCAGTCCTGTACCTAGGTTGACTGTCTAAATAAACTTGGGTTAGTGCATGATCTTCTTTGGGCTTCCTCATCTGGAATATTCAGTGTTCTGTAATACCCCTTTGAAGTAATTCATGGGTGATCTAGTTTTTACGACTCTTTCTCCCCTTCTTATAAAATACTTATTGTAAAGAAATAATACATGCACAATACAAAATTAAAAAATAATGACATATAAAAGTATGCATTTAAAAATAACTTGCAAATTCTCCTTATTTTGCTTATGGAAATGTGTATTGGAGGGGATACTTCTAAGACCACCCCTGTGTTAGGTGACTGTCTAGAAGGACTCCAACATATTCATTGTTATGATTTATTACAGATAAAGAATAAAAAGCAAAATCATAAGAAGGAATAGGCACATGCAGCAAAATCCAAAATTAACCAGGCATAATCTTCCAACATTTCCTCAGAGTAGACTAACACAGGATGCACTTGGTTCCCCTTGCAATGCGTTATGACAACCCATGTGAAATGTATCTACCAGGAAAGGTCATTAAGAAGTATTCAGTGCCCAAGATTTTTATAAGGGGCTGATCATGTAGCTACCCTCTGCCTGCAACCTACTAAAATTCTAGACTCCCAGATAAAAACATCTATTTAGCATAAAACACATTTTTTCTTACTTAAAAAAATTTTTATAAATCTATTTATGTTGTTTTTCATTTTACAACAATGTTTACTCCCCACTCCCCCACTTGTCATCTCCATAGCCCCCCACATTCCTCCCTCCATCTGATCCCTCTCTGTTCTCCTCCTCTGTAGGATCTCTCCGGTTTATAATTGTTTTTGTTTTGTATTTCTGTATTTTGTATTGTTTCTCAATGCATTTCCCTCCCTCATGTCTCATTTGGTTCTCTTCCCATAAGTGTAATCATTTAATATTTTTTCTTTTTTTCTTCTGACCTATTTCACTGAGCATAATCCCTTCCAGCCCCATCCATATTTCTGCGAATGGCATGAATTTACCTTTTAGATTGCTGAGTAGTATGCCACTGTGTGTGTGTGTATGTGTGTGTGTGTGTGTGTGTGTGTATACCACATGTTCACATCTTCTTTTGGGCATTTGGGTTGTTTCCAGGACTTACCTATTCTTTAATTTTTTTAAGATTTATTTATTTATACATACAGAACTGGGGGTACAAGCCAGAGATTCAGGGATGGTGAGAGGATTCACCGCAGCACCACAGACAGAGTAGGGAGCAGAACAGACAGATCCATGAAGTATACTGCTTAGGGGAGCAGCAGGTGGGTCAGGAGAGGTCTGCCGTGCCATGTGGGTCAACTCCAGGATTGAACTGGCACTGAAGCGGCTGCAGCTGGCTTGCAGTGCTGTGCTCTAACTCGTTTCACCACCAGGGAGGGCCAGGACTTACCTATTGTAAGCAGTGCTGCAATAAACAGAAATGCATGTAGCCTTTTGAATTAATGTTTTGTGTCCTTTGGATACATACCTAGGAGTGGAATTGCTGGGTCATATGGAAGCTCCATTTTTAGTAGTCTGAGGAATCTCCATACAGCTTTCCATAGTGGTTTTACCACTTTACATTCCCACCAGCAATGTAAAGAGAGTTCCTTTTCACAACATCTTCATGAGCATTTGTTGTTGTTGTTTTTTTAATATGTGACATTCTCACTGGTGTGAGGTGGTATCTCATTGTGGTTTTGATTTGTATTTCCCTGACTATGAGAGATTTTGAACATTTTTTCATATGCCTGTTGGCCATTTGCAGTTCCTCTTTGGATAGTGTCTTTTAAATTCTTCTCTGCCCACTTATTGACTGAATGGTTTGTTTTATTTCTGTTAATTCGAATGAGCTCTTTGCATAACTTTTTGATCAGTCACTTGTCCATTATAAGGAGTGCAAATATATATATATATATATATATTTTAAATTTTAAAAAGGTTTATTTATTTATGCATACAGAATTGGGGTACAAGTCAGAGGGGCAAGGGTGGTGTGAAGATTCACCAGAGACAGAGTGGGGAGGAAGATCGACTAAGTACACTGCTGAGGGGAACAGTGGGTGGGTCAGGAGAGGTCTGCCATGCCATGTGAATCACCTCGGGGCCAGGCACCAAACTTGCACTGAAGCAGCAATGGCCAGCTTGCCGTCCTGCATCCTTACCCGTTGAGCCACCAGGGAGGGCTGCAAACATTTTTTTTTCCCAGTCTTGTTGTCTTGGTTAATGTCAGAGGCTGAATTTTGAAGCATATCTTCTATAGATAGCAATTTCAGGTCTGCTATGTTAATTCTTTTCTGTACAGTTTTTAAATTGGTTCAGCCATTCCAGAAGGTATTTTGGCAGTATACATTAGCATCTGTGTGTTCTAGAGATTCCATTCCTGAATATATATCCCAGTTCTCAGAGTCCATGAGGAAGCATTTATTTACAAGGCTGTGGAATGCATGACAGCATTGTGTATGGTGGAGTGCAATTAGAAGCAACTTATCTACCAAAGGGATAGATAAGAAACATATACAGGATGCTTATTTTTGGATATTACATAGCAGGAAATGATAAAATAGATGTATGCATATGGATATCATTAACATAGGTTTGAGTGGGAAAGTAGAATCTAGAATGGTGGTTTCAGCTATTGCCTGCCTGTGCATTTTATAAGTATCCCTGATCTCCACCTTCTGGATACCAAGTATGACCACTAGACATTGTTAAATGTCTCTTGGGGGTCAAAAAAGAACCACTGATCTGTTGAAATGCTCATATAAGTTTATTCTTTAATCTGTTAAATCTGCAGTGATAATCTAGATTGAATAGTTTTAATATATTAATTTAATGTTGTATTTCTGGGATAAACCTATCCTGCCTTTGACAGCCATCTATGTTGTTACATTTATCAATAGTCAGGTTTTTTATTGTTTAATAATATTCTATTTTATGGTTTTATTACTCATTTACCAGTTCATTCCAGGATATCTAGATTGCTTATAATTTTGAATTGCTATGAATAAAACTGTTCTGAATATTTCTGTGAAAGTTTTTGTGAGAACACGTGTTTTCATTTTTCATGGGTAAATACTTCAGGATGGGAAAACTACGTTACATTTTATTTTTAAAAAAATACTATCAAATCCTATGGTGATGGCACATGGGTGATTTGGTGATGGAAAGCCCATGGAGATTAAAACTGAGATGGAAACAGGCACAAAATGATGTAAAAATAATCTTTTATATTATTAAAAAATTAAAAACAAAAACCCTGCCAATCCATAACATTTTGCAATTTTGTTTCTAATATCCAGGAATTTGAGTTTCTCTACATGGTTCTTTGTACTTGGTTTTAATAGTATTTTTAATTTAAAGATTTATTTATTTATTTATTTAAATATTTATTTAAATTTAAAGATTTATTTATGCATACAAGAACTGCAGTACAGGCCAGAGGTATGGAGCATGAGAAGATTCACCAGTGATAAGAGTGGGGAGCACAACAGGTGGATTAAAGTTCACTGCTGAGGGGAGCAGTGGGCAAGGTAGAAGTTTGCTGTGCCATGTATGTCTCATCCCAGTCCAGGGATCGAACTTGAGCTGCAGTGGGTGCAGTAGCTTCATAGTGCTGTGCTTTAATCCCAGTATTTTTAAGTTTTAGTCATTATAATTAGTCTATACTGGCATTCCATTATGGTTTTAATTTTCATTTCCCTGATAACTAATGATATTGCGCATTATTGCATGTGCTGGTTGTCCATCCACATAAAATATTTGGCGAAATATCTGTTCAAGTATTTAAACCATTTTTAAATGGGTTGTTTACCTTCTTATTTAGTTTCAAGGATTTATTTTTCTAATATAATGTATTAATAAGTCCTTTGAGACCCTCCCTGATGGTGCAATGGGTTAGGACACAGCACTGCAAGCTGGCCACAGCCACTTCAGCGTGAGTTCGATTCCCACCCTGGAGTTGATCCACACAGTGTGGCAGACCTTTCCCGACCCGCCTGCTGCTCCCCTCAGCAGTGTACTTCGTTCATCTGCCTGTTCTGCTCCCCACTCTGTCACTGGTGAATCCTCTCACTGCCCCTGCACCTCTGGCTTGTACCCCAGTTCTGTGTAAATAAATAAATAAATCTTAAAAAAAAGTCCTTTTTTGTAAAGAATATTGTCGCAGTCTATGGCTTAGCCTTTCATTTTCTTGACAGAATCTTTGAAAGCTATAAGCTTTTAACTTTATCAAAATTGAATTTATTATTTTTTCTATTATGGTTAATTTTTTGGGGGGTCTCTCATGAAACTTTGCCTTAGACATGGTCACAAAGATTTCCCCTAAGTTTTATTATACAAGTCTGGGTTTTTATTTCTCATATTTTGATCTATGATTATTTTTGAGGGAGATTTTTATTATAATACAAAACAAAGTTCTCATTTAGTTTGTTACCAAGTGGTTATTTAGCTGTTCCATCACCCTTTGTTTAAAAATTCATTAATTTCTCCAGTGAATTCCCTGGGCAATGTTGTCAAAGTTCAGTTTATCAGTGAGTCTATTTTTAGGGACACTATTTTTTTACAATTATATATATGAATATTCTTATACTAATACCACACCATCTTTTTGCTGCTGGTTTTTAAGATTTAAGATCTAATTGTCATAAAACATTATATAAAATATTATATTAGTTAGTTTCAGTTAGTTCAGTTGCATTATGTGAAGTGATCACCACAGTATATCTGCTTAACATATAATACCATATATAGTTACTTTTCTTACTATCTTGATTGTTATGGCTTCTAGAAATTCTTGAGAGCTGGTAGCATACGTCTTACAATTTTTTTTTTAAGACAATTTTGGCTACTTTAGGTGATTTGTTTGCCTATATACATTTAGAAATCATCTTGCCGTGTTCTATCAAAAATCAAAAACAAAAATCTGCCAGCATTTTGATTAAGATCACATTAAATCTATAGATCAGTTTTGGTGAAAAGGGTGTTTTCAGTTCCATGAATCTCTAAATATTTATATATGTAGGTTATATAATTTTCCCAGTATTGTTTTTATTTTCCATTGTATAAATATCCTTAGTTTTAAAAACTAGTTTCTGTTTGTTTGCTAATATTGTGAATGTTGTTTTTTAAACTTTTTATTATGCATATAAGAACTGGGGTGTAGGATAGAGGTGTGGGAGATGAGAGGATTCACTAGAGACAGAGTGGGAAATAGAACAGGCAGATTGACTGAAATAAACTGCTGAGAAGGGGAGTGGGCAGGTCAGCAGTGGTCCTCTATGCCATGTGGGTCATCTCCCTGGCCAGGGTTCAAACTCGGGCTTCCATGGCTGCATATATCTTTGTAGGGTTCTGCTTAAAACCATCGCATTACCGAGAGGACCTGTGAATGGAGTTTTTATTTCAGTTTACTGTAGTTAGTGCATTATATAGAAATACAATTAATTTTTATATATGGGCTGTGAATTCTGATACATTGCCAAATTAACTGGTTGGTTTTAGATTTTTTTTATTTTATGTATACATACATATAAATATGTATATCTATCTATCTATCTATATATATGTTTGGCATTTTACACTTACATAATCAGGTAATCTGTGAATAAATACAGTTTTATTTCCACTTTTTCAATATGTATACCTTCTATTTTCTTTTATTGCATTATATTAACTATGACTTTCCAGTGTAGTGTTACCTAGAAATGGTGAGGCCATGCATATTTTGTCTTGTACCTGAGGGCAGCATTTACTATTTCACCACTGTGAATGATATTAGCTTTAGGTTTATTATGTTTGTTCTTTATCACATAAAGGTAGTTTCTTTCTGTTCTAAATTTGCAGATGGCTTTTATCACAAATATGTTTTTTCAAAGGCTTATTGTTTTGCTGTTAAAATAATCATATGATTTTTCTCCTTTAATAAATTGTCATGGTAAATTGGATTGAGATAAACCCCTCTCAATCATGGTATATCATCCACTTTATGTAATATTTTAAAAATTGGGTTGATTGGATTTTTATTATTAATTTCTTTTTTTTAAGATTTATTTTCCTATGCTTACAGAACTGGAGTACATGCCAGAGGTATGGGGGTAGTGAGCGGATTCATCATAGCAGAGTGAGGAGCATATCAGGCAGATTGACGAAGTACACTGCTGAGGGGTATTGTGGGCAAGACAGGAGAGGTCTGCTGTGCCATATGGGTCACCTCCAGGGTCACGGATCCAATTCACACTGAAGCAGCTGCGACTACCTTGCAGTGTTGCATCCTAACCCATTGCACCACCAGGGAGGGCCAGGATTTTTGCTATGAATTTCAAATGCTTTCATATATTGGATATAATTTTACTTATCCTTTTTTTGTTTTCTTGTGATCTGTATTGCCTGCCTAGTTTTTCAAAATACTATGTTTTAAAGGCTATGTATATTAACAATATTGTTATCTTTTTGTCTACTATGCTTCACTACATATTTATTATTTTCCTAGTTTTTTTCATGTTTTATGTTCTCAACTGTGAAGTTATTATTGAATGTGTGCTGAACAATGTATAAGGAAGTGTGTAGGAATTTTTAAAATTTGGAAATAATCTCTAAATTACAGGAACATTAGAAAATAAGAACAGAAAATAAAGACTACTCGTATACTATTTATCCAAATTAACCTGTTGTTCAAATTTCACTGTGTATAATTTGAACATATTCTCCTTATCTCCTTCTCTGTCCTCCCTCCTCTCTATATACCTGTTCATATATACATATGTGTGTGTAGCTTATTGTTGTCCTCAGCCAACACATATATCACATTTTATTATCATATTTGCATATATCACATTTTCATTATCTCTAAATGCTCTTTTGTGCTATTTCCTAAGAGAATTTCTTTGCAGATAAAGTAAGCCTCTGGGTGATATGACACTTTCAAACAGAAATTTATTATGTTTTCCCAAATTTTCTAGATTACCTCAGTCATAGAATTTGTCTAAATTGTCAGAAATAAAATATCTGCCCTCGTTTAATGATGCAGTGTCAGGATTTTATTGCCAGTATACATGTGTGTTAAAGATTTTTCTGGTTTTTTTAAAAGATTTTATTTATTTATGCACATAGAACTGGGGTACAGGCCAGAGGTGCAGGGTCAATGAGAGGATTCCCCGGAGACAGAGTGGGAAGGAGAACAGGCAGATTGACAAAGTACACTGCAGTACGGCAGGCAGGGTCACGGAGATCTGGAAAGGTCTGAAGCGCCATGTGGATCACCTTCTGGGGCTGGGGAATCAAACTTGGACTGAAGTGGCTGCAGCTAGCTTGCAGTGCTGCACTTTAATCCGTTGCACCACCAGGAAGGGCCCAATATTACTCAGCAATCAAAAAAGATACACTCTTGCCTTTTGTAGCAATATAGATGGAGTGGAAGGGATTCTGCTTAGTGAAATAAGCCAGAAAGAAAAAGAAAAATGCTGGATGGTTTCACTCATAGCAGGAGTGTAAAGGATCAGGAAAAAAAAAAAGCAAAAGCAATAAAGTAAAAATGAAAAGAATAATAATACACCAGAGACATTTTATGAGAATAGAGAAGGGCATAGGATCAAAACTGGGGTTGGAAGAGTGCACAGGACTATGGGGATGACAGAGGGGTGAATTGGTGGTGAGAAGTCCACAGGAATTACAACTGAGATGAAAAATGCACAAAATGAAGAATTATGTAAAAAAATAGATTTATCTACTTATGCATACAAGAACTGGAGTGTAGGCTACAGGTGTGTAGAGAGAGACAGAATGGGGAGCAGAAGAAGCAGATGTTTTGAAATACACTGCTGAGGGTTGCAGCAGGCACTACAGGAGAGGTCTGCTTTGCCGTGTTGGTCAGCTCCCTGGTGGGGGATTGAACTCATGCTGCAGTGGCTGGCAGTAGCTTGATAGTACTGTGTCTTTCTTTAACCCCTGTACCACCAAGGAGTCCCCAGCTATTATGTGTTTTACTACTATCAGGACCACTCTTCCCTTATTGGCCTTCTTTTATAGAATGTCTACTATTCAAGACTAATTTTTTCATCTAAATTTTTGATCAATACTTCTAATTCTCAAACTGTTTCTTAGTTAAAAGCCCATTTAGAAAATATTGACCTTTTTTTTTTTTTCATTGCACTACTCATAAAAGATCAGGGCCAGTTTTCCATGTCTTTTGGAGTCAACTGTAGCCTTTACCTTTCTTTCCATTTTTCCTTTATTCACAGCAAGATGGATTTTGGATATACTCTGAGTACTGTAACAACCACCTGGATGCCTGCATGGAGCTCTCCAAACTGATGAAGGATAGCCGCTACCAGCACTTCTTTGAGGCCTGTCGCCTCTTGCAGCAAATGATTGACATTGCTATTGATGGTTTCCTTCTGACCCCAGTGCAGAAGATCTGCAAGTATCCCCTACAGCTGGCTGAGCTCCTCAAGTATACTGCCCAGGATCATAGGTAAAGTATTGAAGGAGGCAGGAATGAGGAAGAGGGCCTCCTTGAGATGTTGGCCCTCACTGAGAATATACACACTTCTGCCTTCTCTGAGCTTCTCAACATTATCTGCATAATGGGATTGATATTATATTCTTGCTTACTTCACAAAGCAGTTGTGTGTATAAAGTATAGAATGCTTGTGAAAATTGCTTATAAAGTTGTTATCAAACAATATTTATCATCACTTTTATGCACCCTTCAGGGAACTTTAGCCTAGTACTTAGTCCTTAGTTATCCAAGATGGAATAATTATTCAATTGCTTATTCTGCTATGATTAATAGATTTAAATACCATGTGCTGATCTTAGATTTCTTCAACAATGTTGCACCCCTGTTCTTTAGACTTCAACCTTCTTCTGCCTCATCCCAACTATATCTTTCCTTTAGTCTCATAGAGTGATTGAGGTAAAGATCTTTAGACATTTCCTGAGGATTAAAAATAATTTTCCTGTATTTTCAAGAGAAACAAAACAAAACACACACACACACACACACACACAAATCTAGCTCTGTCTGAATGGAAATAATACCTCCACCCTCTACCAGTAAGATGTATGTTGGTAATGGGGATGGTCTACAGTGAACAATCTCTACTCTTTCACATAATTTGCTTCATGTGACCCCTAATCCTATTTTTAACCTGCCTTTAATTGGTGTTAAATCCCTGTCTTTAATTGGTATTAAATCCCTGACTTTAAGACTTGTTGGCCCATAAGACTTATTGACCCATCATTAAGTTCTCGTTCTGATTGGGCATTCCAAGAAGAATGAAAGCCTTTGGCCAATTTCCTTTAGTTTCTTTTTTTTTTTCCTGATGTTTATTAAGCCAGCTTCTGACTGTCCCTTGATTCAATGCCAGTTTTCTATCGAGCTGACTTCCAAACTCAGTTGCATTAAATAATAGGTGTGTGGTGTTTTTGTCAAGCTTTAAGCCAATACCTGGATTCAGTTTCATGTTTATCTTGCTTCTTTAACATGTCATGGGTCATGCACTACAATGGTTCTGGAGCCTTGAACTGATTTCAAATCAATCTAGTAGCATTGTATACTCCTTTTGTGTGAATAACAATGATAGCTCTCCATTTCAAGCTGTGAAGGAAGCAGTTAGAACAGGACCTTGCAAAGAAGAACTCAGCTTCTTCCTCCCTGAATCTTATTTTACTGTTTGAAGGATGAATAGAGGTACTCACAAGAAATTTGTGAGTACTAGACAAGAAATTTGAAGGTGACTAAATCTTACTTGAATGGATTTATTAGCCTATTGCCAGAACTGAATTATAAGTTTTCTAAGGATATGGTTTCTTATGAGAACTAACATGAGGGTGAAGAATTCCAAATAAAATTAAGATATTTAAAAGTAAAATAAAAAACATACCTTAACATACCTAAACCCTTAAAGGAAAGTCTTCTATTCAGATTTTCCTATTCTGAGGCTAGAAAATACTGAATCAAATAGTAAATCTATGGTAAATCAGGAACAGTGTGGACAGTAGTCTGGGAACTTAGCTTTTAAAGAGATTTCAGATTATTTTTATGCTCAGGAAAATTTATAAGCTATTGTAGTAGTCAACTGAAAGACCTCTTCTGCTTCTGTGATCCTGTGATATCATGAACCCAAATGACCACAGTTCTGGAGTAGCCTTCACTGCAGTGGTTTTAAAACTGGAATATACAAGGCAATGTCAAACTCCAAAATTTTTATATAAGAGCTCATCTGCCTTGTCCTCATAAGTATCTGCTCCATGGAAATTAACAGGAAGATCTAAAAGGGATATTCACTATGTAAATTATATATTATAAAGTTGTTTTTAAGAGCCCCAGAAAAATCATTTTCAAAACACAGCAGACGTTATGTCAGTTTTTACAACCCATGGCCTCATTGTGTTTAGTAAGAGCCAGTAAGATAAGACATCTGCTTGGAATTTGCCATTCTTGTGCTTTAACACACAAGCCCTGTGAATAGAAGCCCTGATTCAATGCTATCTTGTCCTGAATCTCTGAATTCATCTCCAACCACTGTACTTCAGCATATGAGAAAGTAACTTAAGCAGTCACAGGCTATATCAACCCATGTCTTCCTTCTGGGTGACCCATTGGGCCACTACCCACCAACTCCCAGGATACCCCTTTTAGTGGGCCTCAGGAAGATGTTAATTCAACAACTACTACAACACATGACCAAACTGTTTGGTCTTGAAGACAATTAGAGACTGCTGCTGACTTAAAGGCTTAGATAGGTGTTCACAAAGATATATATTAAATGCATTTTGTCATAGTGGTCTCTAGAAAAGATTAGATGCATATGAAGTGATAAATGAAAAATATTGCCTTTCCTTATACATGAGTGGCATGCCCCTCTCCACACAACCTTTTGTAAGCTGACAAGAAGAATGAGTCTGTACAAGAGGGAGATTTCACTGACATGTCTGCCACAAAGCTATCCTGACTATGTAAGTCTCCTCTGAGGAGCCTGGTCTCAGACCTCATCTGAAGGGCTCTTACCAGGATTCATAAAGGATCATAGCCATGCTCTTATTCACTAGCCTACTTCTTTTTGTTTTTTAAATTTATTTATTCCTATAGAACTGGGATACAGGCCAGAGATGCGGAGGGTGAGAGGATTCACCAGAGACAGAGCGTAGAGTAGAACAGGCAGATCGACAAAGTACACTGCTGAGGGGAGCAGTGGGCGAGCCAGGAGAGGTCTGTCTCACCATGTGGATCTCCTCTGCGGCAGGCAGGAATCGAACTCATGCAGAAGTGGCTTAAGCTCCTCAGTGCTGTGCTTTAACCCGCTGTGCCACCAGGGAGGGCCACTAGCCTACTTATAAAGCTAGTGGGGCAGGTTAGAGATAGGGTCATTCCCTCATTAACCATTGTGAGTGAGGCAGCCAGTTAAAAATGGCAATGTTTAACCTAAGGTTGACAGACTGGCATTATGATAGTGATGAATCTATGGCTTTATAGTAGTTAAGCATATGTAATAAACATTTGCACACTAGCACTGACACATAGAATTTTCTGCAATGATGTAAGTATGCTTTATCAGTGCTGTCCCATGCAGTAGTCACTGGGTGCATGTGACTATTGAGTGCTGGGAAATGTAACTGGTGTGAATAAGGAATTTTTAAAAATTATTTATGTTTAATTAAATAAGGCTATGTGTCTACTATATGAATAGTTGTATCACTATGCTTCACCTCCCAGAGAGTAACATAAAAAGCATTTTCAGGGCCCTCCCTGGTGGTACAGTGGGTTAAAGCTCAGCACTAAGAAGCTTAAGCCCCTTCCCTCAAGAGTTCGATCTCTGCCTGCCCGGGAGGAGATCCACATGGCGTGGCAGACCTCTCCTGACCCGCCCGCTGCTCCCCTTAGCAGTGTACTTCCTCGATCTGCCTATTCTGCTCCCCACTCTGTCCCTGGTGAATCTTCTCACCCTCCACATCTCTGGCCTGTACCCCAGTTCTGTATGAATAAAATAAATCTTTTTAAAAAAAGAAAGCATTTTCATTATGTAATCAAAGTAGAGAGAAGAAAAGCATGGAAGACAGAAAATGGACCTGAAAAATACTTATTTATGTAATTTGTACACTTTGATTACTTATATTTTTAAGCTTCATTTTATTTATGCATATAAGAGATGGGGTATAGGCCAGAGGTACAGGGGTCATGGATGAGAGGACTTAACAGAGACAGAGTGGGGAGTAGAGCAGACAGATGACAAATTCACTGCTGAGGGGAGCAGCAGGCAAGACAGGAGAGGTGTGCTGTGCTATGTGGGTCAGCTGTCTGGAAAAAAGATTGAACTTTTACTGCAGTGGCTTGTAATAGCTGAGACTTTAACCCCTTACAACACCAGGGAGGCCCTTACTAATTCTGTCTTCACATTACTCTGTTTCTAAATGGTAAATTTAGATAATCTTTTCAGTGAGAAACTTTGAAGACCAATATATATCTAGTAGGCTGAAATGTAACTGTAAATTTATGAAATGTATCAGGAACAAATATAACATTTTACAGTTGGGTCTAGAAATTAACAGGTCAAGGGGTATTTGAGAGATGCAACTTTCTGAATAAAGAAACTTAAAATGTGTTAGTCAACCATGAATTCAATATGAGTCAGCAGGATATCCAGAAGAAAATTTGATAATAATTATCATTCATTAAGACTCAGATTAAAGAAAATACATTTTTTTAATTTTGCTTTTTTTTTTAAAATAGAATTGTCTTGAAACAAAATAGCAGAAAAGGCTAATTAGCAGGTATAGTGAGCATCCTGTCACTTAAGGTGACAGGATGCTTAAATAGCATTTTAAGATGATGATCTGGCAAGTCAGAGAACAGACTTGGAGACAGAAAGACCAGCTAAGAGGAGGTGTTGTATGACATTTGCCCTGACAAAACTGCCTTTTCTGTGCCAATGTTTGTTCTAGCACCCTACACTTCATATATTAGTGTGGTGGGGGGGGTGGTGGTGTCAGGAGCTGAGTTCTTCTCTTTTTCTTTTCTTCTTTCTAATTGGTACTGGAACAAAGAACAGGAACAGGTTAATGACCACAAAATGTGTAGATTCTTTAATAAGCGGAGTGAAAACTGAACTGAAATTTATCCTACTGCCTCCTATAGTTTATCGTCATTGCACCATATGGCTGGGATTTAATTTTCATTTTTTAAAGATTTATTTCTTTATCTATTTATTTATTCATCTATTTATACATACAGAACTGGGGTAGAAGCCAAAGGTGCAGGGGCAGTGAGAGGTTTCACCAGAGACAGAGTGGGGAGCAGAACAGGCAGGATAAACAAGTACACAGCTGAGGGGAGCAGCGGGCTGGTCAGGAGAGGTCTGTGGAGCCATATGGATCACTTCCGGGGTCAGAGATGAACTTGCACTGAAACAGCTGCAGCTAGCTTGCAGTGCTTCACCCTAACCCATTGTGCCACCAGGGAGGGTCTGTATTTCATTTTCAATCTGTCTGTTATAGGAGCCACTCAAATGGAAATCATATCAGACAAATAAAAAAAAATTGGGAAGGGTGGTGTAATCTTCAACAAGTTGGTGATCCAAAGTCCCAAGAAGGTGGGCCTATGCTGTTGCACTTCTGAAACTAGAGGTTTTGAAGTAACCTATATGATGTTGATACTATAGAAATGTTTTATTTGCTTTAATAATATCACTTATGTTAGCCCTCTCTGGTGGCACAGTGGGTTGAAGTGTAGCACTAAGAATCGAAAGCCACTTCCACATGAGTTTGATCCCTGCCTGCCCCGGAGGTGACCACATGGCACGGCAGACCTCCACTGACCCTCCTGCTGCTCCCCTCAGCAGTGTACTTCATTGATCTGCCTGTTCTGCCCCCCACTCTGTCTCTGGTGAATCCTCTCACTGCCCCTGCAACTCTGGGCTGTACCCCAGTTCTGTATGAATAAATAAATCTTTAAAAAATATATTACTAATGTTTACAAAAAGGCAATAGTAAAACCACCTACATGGGTGAATAAACCCTCAATAAATCCTACTGAAATACACCCCAATTTACAGATGAGGAAACTGAATCACAAAGAAGGTGAATGTCATCTGCCAAAATCCCTCCCACTAGTCAATGACGAACTAAGTTTTGAAACCAAAGATCCTGACTCCAGAATCTGTTTTTATCTACATGCTATATATCCTTTATATTACACAGGAGGAATGGTATGAATTTTACTTCAGTCACTTCTGTAAAAATATATGATAAGAGATGGTAAAGTTGTCTAAACCATGTCATGTGTAAGGCTCTATTCTTGGTCCTTGACTGGTTGTATCAGCTAAGATACCCACAATAAAATCAATGACCTTAAAGAAGATATGCTCTGTTTCTCCTTCATGTAAATGAAGTCTGTAGGTAAGCAGTCTGTGGCTGCTGTTGAGGCTTTGTGGTTATGAGACACTTAAACTTCTTCTAGTATCTTATTACTAGGAACATGGACATTGACTTTATGATGCAACATAACTAGTAGAACTTCAGTCATCACATTCATATTCCTACCATCAGGGCTGAGTAAGGGCCACAGTAAGGGTATGCTCTCTTCCTTAAAGAAGGTTGCTTAAAAGTTTTACCCAAAACTTTTATTTATATTTGATTGGACAGAATATAGTTGCATAGATACTCCTTACTATAAGGGATAGGAATAGTCTTTTACTTCCTGTGGGTTCTATCAGGTCTCCATCTGAAATCAGGGCCCTGTTACTAAGTAGGAAGAGGAAAATGGATAACATCTAGTACAGTGGTTCTCTGGTTCATTGATTCATCTAACTTATACTTTTGTGTCTTCACAGTGACTATAGGTATGTGGCAGCTGCTCTGGCTGTTATGAGAAATGTGACCCAACAGATCAATGAGCGCAAACGGCGTTTGGAGAATATTGACAAGATTGCCCAGTGGCAAGCCTCTGTCTTAGACTGGGAGGTAAGAACCTTATGAACAGGGGAATTGGGGAGTCTGAATAATTTAGCCAGAACTTCCCATTTTAGCCAAAGATAGATGACAGGGAGTTACATTTGAGGAATACATTTCTTGTCTTGTTTAAAAAAGTAAATCTGAAGAGCAAGAGAAAAATTTAGATTAGAATAAAGGCAAAACTTCCTGCTAATGAAAACTATTGAATACTTGAATAGCTTTCAAAGAAGTTATCTTAACCGCAATATTTTTTTGTAGAACTTTACTAAGAAAAAAAAATAACTTAATGCAAATAATGCTATTGTAAGCAAAAATACATAAATCTTACATGTGACTGTTTTCATTTTTAAAATAAATTCATTTATTGATTGTAACAATAGGATACCACCAATCAGGTATCACTACCATAATGCATCCAAAACAAAATCAACCATATTTCACGAACATAGTCCAATGGGCTTCCTTTCCTCTTTGTTATTTCACTTTTCCTACCCCTTACCTCCTCAAGATGATTCAGCTTTTCAGTATTAGTTTTCAGATTCTTTGGGTAAAAGTGCTATTGCAGGGTCATGTGGTATTTCCATAGTTTTTTAACCAACTAAAATCCTATTGAAAAAGAAATAGATAAGGAAATTAATAGTACTTAATTTATATTCAGTGGAATATATTCAACTACTAAAAAAGATGATATAGTGCCTTTTGTGACAAAAATGCATGGACATCAAAGTGATTATGCTAAGTAAAAATAAGTTGGAAATTGAAAGACAGTTACCACATAGTTTCACCTAATTATAGAATATGAACAATCACAGAGGGGGAAAAGTTAGTAAAATAAACAAACAAACAAAAAACTCAGATTAGGTAATAATATACTAGTTACTAAAGGGGAAGGAGTGGGAAAAGGGATTAGGAGAGGTAATGTGTTAGGGAATATTAGTAGTGTAGCTTTGACAGAGGGTGAGTGAAGCATGTGCACATTTTAAGGTGTGAAGTTGTATTCCCAAAATTATGTTAGGTAAACAAATGTACAATAAAATATGAATGAAGACATTTTCTACAAAAAACATAAAGGAGACATCACCAACATGATGGCAAAGGGTCACTAGGGTTAATTTCTCTAGCAGAAAATACAGCAAGTTCCTAGAAGGACTCAGCCCTTCTGGACAAAGTCAGTGACTTGACAGACACAAAGGGAAGGTGAGAGCAACAGGAAAAGGGAGGAAAGAGATATTGATCTGAACCCCTTTTTCCCACCTTCCCCTATCCACAAAGCTGAACCACTTCACCCTAGAAAATAAAAGAAGGAAATTGGAAGCCACAATAAAAGCCCTGAGTTGTCTGGGAGCTCCATAAAGGTGAAATATAGGCAGATGGGCACAGGGCAGACACAACACCCAGCATGAGCCTGGATGTGAGGGTGACCCCTTCCCCCACTCCTCCATTTCCCAGAGATATGTTGTGAAGCATAACTTTGAAAGTTTACTAGGAGATGTTTCTATACCACCTAGTAATGAGAACACAAGCACCCACCACTTGATTTTTTGGGAAAAAAGAAATACCCCTTTGAACCGAACAAGGATGAGCTACAAAAATGGGGGTAAGAAGGAGTACAGGCGTGGATCATAAGCCCACAGGAGGACTCTCTTGACCCCAAGTCTTTGGGAACTGAGAGATGAACTCAGTCTCCACGTGGGAACCTGCCATATCCATAAGCACCTCACCAAGTACCTACCGGTACTCCAAATTGGAGGCCAGAAAATGATACCCTAGGTGAGCAACTGCATTGTCTGCAGCTGGCCATAAAATTGAGTACAGATCCCCACTCATTCTGAGAACAGAAAGGCAGGATCTGGTGTACAGAGAAAGCTACTTCACAGACATGAGCTCACATCTAGACTGACAGTAGGAAGGCAGGAACTCTGATGCGCAGAGCTAGCTGCCTCATAAGTGCAGACTTGCAACCAGACTGACAGCAGGAATGTGGGACCCTCGGGGTAAGGCTGCCTTAACTGAGGCCTTCCACCTTACTGGGCACACTTATATTCTGACTGAGAACAGGAAGGTGGGATACCTATCACAGCACATCCATAACTTCAGGAACCTCTCACTAGGTGCCTCCCCCACTCCACACTCCAATCTGAGAGTAGGAACATGAGATCAGGAGTGTGCATGACTGGGCATAACCAGTCAGTTCTAGGCAGCATCCAACACCCGGAAACACAGAGCAGGAATTTGGAACTCTGGGGCAAGTGCCACCAAAACCGTGGGACTATGGAGAAATACTGCCTGCAGTCTGGAACAGAACACTGAGACATAGGACTTAAAGCAAGGGATGCACCATCAATGTGAGCACCCCACTGGGATCACCCAAATCTTGGAATTGAGAACTGAGGTATGGGAGGCAGGTATGCGATCAGGCACTGCACTGAGAGAGTACAGGGCAGGCACAGTACTGAGGGTAATCCCCTGTGCTGTGGCTTTCCCCATACCCCAACCACTTCTCAGAGACCCACTGGGAAAAGCAAATTCTGAGAGTTCATAAGGAGCTAATGCCTAAAACAAAATTAACTACAACCAAATGTTGGAAGACAGAGACCCTAAAATTCCCTTTGGGAACTGAGATAGGGACAACTTCAAAAACAAAGATTAGGACCCCTTCCCAAACTGAGCAACTACAGAGGGAGGGAATTTTGAGTGTCAGTGCCATCAACCTAGCCACAGCATCACCACTCCTGTGGCGGTTGGTACAATAGGGCTGGATTTGAACTGACTACCAGTTGCTGGCAAACCAGGAGGAGCACCCAAAATAGATGCCTGCCAATACAAGTGGCACAGTGTCACAACGCACAGCACAATCTAGAAGGCAAATCACAGGGAGATGGAAAAATGCAAACAACCAAGGAAGTCCTCAGAGGGTCACATTGCACACAAAAAACAACAAAAAGAAACCAACAACAATGACATGGAAGATCTTATCCTGACAGAAAGAGAAATTAAAATTGCCATGCTCCCTATTGTGATTGCACATGGGTGAATTTGTGGTGGGAAGTCCGTGGGGATTGCAACCAAGATGAAAAAAAAAAAAAGTACAAATGAAGAATGATGTAAAAATAAATAGATTAAACAAATAAATAAATAAATTTAGATTTTGTTTTAAAATAAAATAAAATTGCCATAATCAGAAAACTGAATGAAGACAAAAATGAGAGGAATGGTATAAAGAAAGTAATTAATGATAAAAAGAATGAAAATGAGTCCCAAGAGAGGTAAATGAAAGAAGTGCAAGAATTTAAAAGATTAATATAGGCACTATAGAACTCTGAGGAAAAAAAAATGAAAAAGGAAAGATGAAATCAAAGAACAGATCAGTAATCTTGAAGACAAGGAAATAAAAAGAACCAAAACAATAAAGGAAAGCAAAGTAGGCAGGGGGAAAAAATGAACAAATACTCCAAGAATTATGTGACTCTATGAGGTAAAGAAATATAATTATTGGAATAACAGAAGGAGATGAGAGAAACATAGGAACAGAGAAAATATTTGAGGAGATAATAAAAGAGAATTTGTGAAACATGAAGAAGGAGATGAAAATAGACATACAGGAAGCAAGAAGAACACATAGATTTCATGACAAAAGTAAAATACAGCACGACACATAATAGTAAAGCTCCCAACGATCCAAGACAAGAAAAAAATAATGAAGCTGACAAGAAGGAAGAAATAGAAAACATGCAGAGGAAAAACAATCAGACTTACAGATCAGACTTCTCCAAGGAAACACTGTGGTCAATAAGAGAGTAGAGAAATGTATTCAGCAAACTTGAAGACAACATATGTCAATCAAGAATATGTTGCTCCTCCCCGGTGGCACAGCAGGTTAAAGCACAGCACTAAGGAGCTAAAGCCACTTCCTCATGAGTTTAATCCCTTCCTGCCCCGGAGGTGACCACATGGCACAGTAGACCTCTCCTGACCTGCCCGCTGCTCCCCTCTGCAGTGTACTTCGTTGATCTGCCTGTTCTGCTCCCCACTCTTCTCTGGGGAAGCCTCTCACTGCCCCTGAGCCTCTAGCCTGTACCCCAGTTCTGTATGCACAAATAAATAAATCTTTTTTTAAAGTTCTGTATGCACAAATAAATAAATCTTTTTAAGGATTTATAATAGTAAATCTTTTTTAAAGATTTATAATAATAAATCTTTTTTTAAAGATTTATACTAATAAATAATTTTTTAAAAGTTACTTATTTGTGCATACAGAACTGGGGTACAGGCCAGAGGCTCAGGGGTGGCAAAAGTCTTCCCCAGAGAAGAGTGGGGAGCACAACAGGCAGATGGACGAAGTACACTGCTGAGGGGAGCAGAGGGCGGGTCAGGAGAGGTCTGGCACACCATGTGGTCACCTCCGGGGCAGGCGGGAATTGAACTCATGTGGAAGTGGCTTTAGTGCTGTGCTTTATCCCGCTGCGCCACCAGGGAGGGCCAATAAATCCTTTCTTTCTTTTTTTTTTTTTTTTTTTTAAAGAACATGTTACCGAGTAAAGCTCTCCTTTCTCTTTCAAGAAAAAATAAGTACCTTTTCAGACAAACAGAAACTCCAGAAATTCATTATGACTGAACACCCACTCAAGAAAAAATATATACTATAATCCCTAAAGCTAGCAAGCAGAAAAATATATACCAAGAGAAAATTAAGGCAAGTTATAAATACCCCCAAAAGACAAACAAATAGCAAACACCAATGCCAGTATATCAATTATTACCTTCAATGTAAATGCTTTAAACTCAATAATAAAAAGACAGAGTAGCAGGCTGGATTAAAAAACAAAATCCAAAATTTTGCTATCTACAAGAAACACATCTACCTACAAAAGACAAACATAGACTGAAAATAAAAGTTTGGAAAACAATCCTACAAGCAAATGGAACCCCCCCCCCAAAAAAAAAGGCAGGGACAGCTATACTCACACCAGATAAAACAGACTTCAAACTAAAAAAAGTAAAGAGACAAA